CTCATATCTCGGCCGTTTGTGGTCCGATCTGGCAACGCTTGGCGTTTTCGAAATCAGCGCCCCAAAGTCTATCGAACTGCATACCAATTTCGTCGAAATGAGACAAAAAGTTTTTCGGCGAAAATCGGAAAAAATCGTGATGGTTAGCCTTTCCATTTTTTCGAAAAAACGGTCGAAAATGAGTTGTTCGATATCGAAAAACGTGGTATGCAGTTCGATGGACAATGGAGTGCTGATTCCGAAAATGTGCAGGGTTGCCAGATCGGGGCAGAATTGAGCTTTCTAGAGCCCATATCTCGGCCGTTTGTGGACCGATCTGGCAACGCTTGGCGTTTTCGAAATCAGCGCCCCAAAGTCTATCGAACTGCATACCAATTTCGTCGAAATGCGACAAAAAGTTTTTCGGCGAAAATCGGAAAAAATCGTGATGGTTAGCCTTTCCATTTTTTCGAAAAAACGGTCGAAAATGAGTTGTTCGATATCGAAAAACGTGGTATGCAGTTCGATGGACAATGGAGTGCTGATTCCGAAAATGTGCAGGGTTGCCAGATCGGGACAGAATTGAGCTTTCTAGAGCTCATATCTCGGCCGTTTGTGGTCCGATCTGGCAACGCTTGGCGTTTTCGAAATCAGCGCCTCAAAGTCTATCGAACTGCATACCAATTTCGTCGAAATGAGACAAAAAGTTTTTCGGCGAAAATCGGAAAAAATCGTGATGGTTAGTCTTTCCATTTTTTCGAAAAAACGGTCGAAAATGAGTTGTTCGATATCGAAAAACGTGGTATGCAGTTCGATGGACAATGGAGTGCTGATTCCGAAAATGTGCAGGGTTGCCAGATCGGGGCAGAATTGAGCTTTCTAGAGCCCATATCTCGGCCGTTTGTGGTCCGATCTGGCAACGCTTGGCGTTTTCGAAATCAGCGCCCCAAAGTCTATCGAACTGCATACCAATTTCGTCGAAATGAGACAAAAAGTTTTTCGGCGAAAATCGGAAAAAATCGTGATGGTTAGCCTTTCCATTTTTTCGAAAAAACGGTCGAAAATGAGTTGTTCGATATCGAAAAACGTGGTATGCAGTTCGATGGACAATGGAGTGCTGATTCCGAAAATGTGCAGGGTTGCCAGATCGGGACAGAATTGAGCTTTCTAGAGCTCATATCTCGGCCGTTTGTGGTCCGATCTGGCAACGCTTGGCGTTTTCGAAATCAGCGCCCCAAAGTCTATCGAACTGCATACCAATTTCGTCGAAATGAGACAAAAAGTTTTTCGGCGAAAATCGGAAAAAATCGTGATGGTTAGCCTTTCCATTTTTTCGAAAAAACGGTCGAAAATGAGTTGTTCGATATCGAAAAACGTGGTATGCAGTTCGATGGACAATGGAGTGCTGATTCCGAAAATGTGCAGGGTTGCCAGATCGGGGCAGAATTGAGCTTTCTAGAGCCCATATCTCGGCCGTTTGTGGTCCGATCTGGCAACGCTTGGCGTTTTCGAAATCAGCGCCCCAAAGTCTATCGAACTGCATACCAATTTCGTCGAAATGAGACAAAAAGTTTTTCGGCGAAAATCGGAAAAAATCGTGATGGTTAGCCTTTCCATTTTTTCGAAAAAACGGTCGAAAATGAGTTGTTCGATATCGAAAAACGTGGTATGCAGTTTGATGGACAATGGAGTGCTGATTCCGAAAATGTGCAGGGTTGCCAGATCAGGGCAGAATTAAGCTTTCTAGAGCCCATATCTCGGCCGTTTGTGGACCGATCTGGCAACCAGGCGAACAGAAACAAACAGTAGGTGGTTTCTACTTTTTGAAAATGTTTTTTGTGAATAACTCGGCCATTTGACATCCAATCCTGGATTGTGATGGTTCCAAAAAAGTGGAAAAATTCGGCCCATTTACCTGGCAAACAAAGTCTGGTATTGGCCTAGTTAACACGGAGTGGTAAACAAATTTGGCTTATATATTTATTTTTAAAACTTCGTTTGCTTATAACTCGGTAATTTTTCAGCCGATCGGGAAGCATAGTACCATTCCAGGATCAGGACCTTGATATCCTTCGAACTGCATCAAAGGATCCTCATGAAGTCCTGAAATACCGATACTGATCCTTTCCTAAAATATGATTGCGGCTCGACGTTTTGTTGTTGGATTCTGAAGATCCTTTGATGCAGATCGCTAGATCGCTAGAAAATGTTATGATATTATGGAATGGATGGAATTAATTTATATCCTCACCGCACGTTTATTCACTAAATATTCTCTTTGTTCCAGCTTAATCTATTCCTCCCTGAATAAAACACATACAAACATTTTTCTTTATTAAACATTGAACAGGTTTTATACTAAATTTATACTAGACTACACTACAGCTTCTAGATTTATACTTGATTTACAAACATGTGGTTCACGTAGAATACTCTGGTTGGTTTTCCAATATTATGGGCGAAAATCGATACCTTTAGATCCTCTTGGTGTTGGGGGACGATTTTCGGGCGCCATGCTGCGTTGGGGGCGACTTTCGGGCGGCCATCCTGCGTTGATCCTCTACAATCGACGTCTGCATCCGGCAACTTCACCTTTGTATAAGCTAAGAAGCAATGTTAGCGCATCCCAATATTCTATTCACCTTTTTGGATATTTACTTACCAGGTAATTATCAGCTAGAACACTTTCTCAACAACGCTTTAGTGAAGCTTTGTTTGCTTTCTGAAAGTTCCCATTTAAAGTATATGGAGTTCGAGCGATGCGCACATCTCTGCCAATAGGCATCCGATTTCTAAGTGGGGCAACGCAAATGACTCGTAGAAGTATTTCCCATCGATCTGCATCAAAATCTGGGAAGGGGATATTTTTGGGTATTTATTGTTTATTTCTGGACCTTCGCATTGAAAACAAAAGGAATGACAGCGATGCCTATATCTTGGCAAAAAGGCTTAGATTTTAAGATTTTTAAGCGGGTCACTTTTATTGAAGCAACCAAATAACTGCAAGGGTATATTTTCTTCGGCTAGACCCCAAGTTAGATTTTCTCTCCTGTTTTTGCATAAATTGGGGGGCTTTTTATTTTCATGGCTTATGGAGGGCAAATCGTAAAACGACAAACATTTCATTCGGAAAAGTCAACTTTAATGGAGAACCCAGACCCCAAATGGCGGACTGTGGGAGGGAGTTATAAGCATTAAGTAAAGAACTCACTTTGGGTCACTTAATCGTCATCAACAAAAAAGTAAAGGCCTTCGGGCCATGGGCGGGTCTGAAGAGGGGTCGAGCCCCAAACACAAACACACAGAGAGTCAGAGATAGAGCAGACAACTTTCGGTTGTGTGAAATGCGCTTTCAATTACACTCACAGCGGTCTTAATGAAATGCGGACAGAAATAAATTTATGACGATCACGTACGTATCGCGTATACGCAACGTTGGCCGCACTGGCCGCCGCGTAAGCCAGGTAAGACTTAAGTGACCATTTTACCAACATTTACTAACCAAGTAACCACCTCGGCCGCCTTGCTTTCATAATCGATGATGGCCAGCCAGCCCTCGGAAACTGCATTCCAATTGAGTTAATTTCTGGCAGGCAAGACACTGACTGAGTTTATGCCACTTTTTTGGCCTTAACCCCGCTTCCGTATTACATTTACTTCTTTCCTGTATTTTTTTCGCAATTTTGCAATTTTTATGGTCTATTAAATACGCTTGAGTAGTTCCCGCCGCCGCCAAAACTGCCAAAGGGCTATTACTTAATTTCCAGCGATTCTGGTCATAATTTTGTAAGGCTCACCTTTCAGGCCATATTATCTTTAATTTTTGGTTATTCCCCTCACGTTCGTATAAACAACATTTTAGGCTGGCATTTATTATGCTTAGTTTTTCGCAAAATACAAAAAAAAAAAAGTAGCCCCCTTTTGCACAGCGGGATTTCAATTCGGAGGATTGTTATGTAAGTGCCAAAGAGCGTATTCAATTTGAATTGGAATGGTTAGTGGGTATTTGGCTTTGGGTTTTCGGTATTTCGGTACTCCCTCTTTTTAATTTTTTTTGTTTGTCTTTTCTTTTGTTGTTTTTATTATTTTTATTGCTGATTCAATATTCCGCACGCATTGGCCGACCTCCCCCATCGCAACAAGACAAAAAATTGTAAAGAAAGTTATCCAAGAAAATGCTAAACAAAACAAAGCGGACAACAAAAAATTAAAATAAAAATGCAATTATGGAATATTATGATATTAGACCAAGAAAATAAAGTAGGTGTTTGGCAAGTCAAATGGGAAATGTGAAAAGAAAGGGATATTTATTAGTGATTTAACACTAACACTAACCGTTTTTAAGGGAAAGAAAAAAAAGGAAAGCTTTAAAGATAAAAGAATTATAAAAAAAAATTAAATTAATTGATTTTAAATTATTCTTAATACTAAAACATAATTATAAAAAACTTGGGACATTTGGAAAGAATAAAGAAGAATATTGAAAAGAATATAAAAACTAAGCTTTTGAGGAAATGAGTTCCAAAAATTTTATTTTAATTAAGACTATTTTTTAAGAGGAATTAAATAACAGAAAATACACATTTTAATATTTAAAAATAGTATAGAAACTTGCAGATATTAAGTCAATCATAATCTTTAAATCTATAACTCTCTGTGCAAAGCTTACATACTCCCCCTGAAGACATAAAAATTGATTTTAGATCTAATAGTTTCCAAAAAAAGTCAGACACCATAAACCGAAACGAAGATAACATTGAGGTCCTGGCAGCCGAAAGGACTTTCCTTTGTGGCATTTCACATTTTTTGGTGTTGTTGCTCTTGTTGTTATCCTAATGGAAATTGAACATTTTCCTTTGTTAAAGCCCAAAGACCTACTTTTGGGTTATGACTTTTTTTTTTTGTCAGTTGGCCAAGTCAAGTGCCAAGCTATTTTTTTTTTTTTTTTTGCATGCGTAATGTAGGCGGGGGAGGGAGAGAGTGCGTGGCGGTGGTATAAAAAGCGACGGTCAGTCGGCGGGCCATCTACATTTTACTGACAACCGTTGACAGAGTATCGCGTTGAGTTTATTTTTGTTGTTGATTTTTTTTTTGGTTTGTGTTTCTTTTTTTTTTGAATAAATACTTACGCGAAATGTTCGCCTTGGCCTTAAAGTTGGCGATACTGGTGGTGGTCAGCCAGCAGGATATTGGTTGCCATGCCCAGCTATCCTTTCACACGGACGCCAATACGAATTCGTTCACCTTGAAGACACCCGGACTGCAGCAGACCTTCACCCGTTATTATGGCTCCGGAACGAGCCAGCCCCTCGCTGAGACTCCGACTTCAGCTCCAGCTCCAGCTCCAGCTCTGGCTCCAGCAGCGGCACAAATTCCGTTTCAATCGCAGCAGTTTGCACAGCAGGAACCACTGGTGAGACCATTTAAACCTGAAACATGGGAAATAAAAGAGTTAATAGTGTTGGGAGATGATTTTTATGTTTTATTTAAGAGTTTTTAAAAGGAAATGCTTTCTTAACAGAGCTATAGTGCCTCACAATCCTCACATTGCCCTTTAAAAAAACCCCCTATTTTCCAAATGCAGTTCCTTTTTTTTATTATTTCTTAAAGCCTTTTATTAAATTCAAGTCCAAAAAAAATCATTTGAAGTTATTGAAGTTAGTTCCTCAAGAGAAAGCGACGTTTGCGGCCCAAACTGGGAATCGAACCCATGCCGGGCATAGCCTGGGACATTCCCTGCATCCCCGTCATAGCTCCCTGCATGGCCTCGCCGAAGCCAAGGTTAAGACCTCCGTTCATCTTTTGGCCCAAAACCTCGATGCTGTTCTCGTTTCGCAGACCGCCACCTGTTTCGGCCAGTTGCTGAAGCTGTCCCACAGCCAGCATCATTCCAGTGCCAATATCCTGACAAATTATAATGGATAAAGTGACTAGGAACTAGTATATACCAGACTTGTAGCTCACCTGAGGTCTAGCAGAGAGATGACCAAGGCAAATGGCCAACAGAACAAGGGTCGTCGACAAGGGCCACTGCATTTTGTGAAAGTTTGAAATCAAATGGCTAGTGATTTGGAAAAACAGGCACGTTTTATAGAGATTTTTGTTGAGATCTATCTAGAGATATTATATAATAATAATAGCCCTTTATAAATGTTCCCTTGACACGCCATCTAAATTGTTATGAACCATAGTTTTTAGATTGCAATTATTTCATTTTATTTCAAAAAAATGATAATGATTTTCTTCTCAATATGAAGAAAATACTTCGTTGACCTCGTTGGGATCGGAGGGCGAGGCCCCAAATAGGTTTTTCAGCTCCTCGAAGTAGTTCTTGAAAGAATCCACCATCGAATGCCAGGCCTGGGTAATGTTCTGGCCGAATTCCCGGGCTGCATCACCGATCCTTTTGTCCAGTCTCGGCACATCCGGATACTCCAGATGCGGCCTGACATCGTCGTATTCGTTCGAATACTCGACATCAAAGTTCTCGCCAGCCGGTTGCGGCTCGGCCCGGGCCATAACCAAAGCCTGGCCAAGGGCAAGGGCCAGCACGGCGAGGACCACAATCAGTGGTAATGGAAATCTGAAGCCTGGAGCGGAAGTCATTTGGAAAACTGTTCTGTTTGAGCGATTGAATGCGGTTTTTGTACTGCCTCCTAACTAGATTCGAACTCCAGAATTCCAGAACACGGAAATGTTCGTCGTTCGGCGTTCATGTCGAGATGGCCATCTCATCTCTGTTCTGTTGGCCGGAAGCGGTCTGTTGGCCAATTGGCAAATTGACCTTAGTTGGGCCAGCTTTGTTCGTGACTTGGCTCATTTCGAATCTTCCATCTGCCAAGCGGCACTGATTGTACTTCATGTTATGGAGCATGTTTGTTTACTTTTTGTACTTTTTTCAAGTCTCTAAAGATAATTGATTTGGTCTAAAAAGCCCTCACTCTTAAGATACATATTTTATTTATATTCTTTGTTGCCTAATTACTTTTAAATCAAATCCTACTAAGTCCAGGATTTCAATCGCCTTTTTTTTCACTTTCCAACATTTTTTTCTTTTTGAAAGCAAACCAAATGTCTTACTAATTTTAAAACACTATATAAGAATCTTTTAAACAATCTTTTTTAAACAATATCTATAAAAAAAAACCTCTTTTTTTTAAAGGAAAACCACCCCAACCACATGTGTCGGGGTTACCACTTTCCTACTTACGTATAATTAGTGACCCCGACGTTATACAGTTTCAGTTCTCGAGCTTTTCATTTCATGTTTCGAGAAACCTTCTATCATTTTATTCATTTCCTTGTGATTTCTTTAAAGTTTTCCCAACAAATGGGGTTACCAAGCCAAATAGGTTCCAAGTGGTGACCCCAATATATATCATATATATGAATTGAGAATCTCAACATTTAACATTTAACCATAGTTTGCATTTATTATCCAAAGACACTTAAAAAAGAATAAAAAAATATTTTGCAAGTGTTGTTTAGCCAGAACCAGTAGCACTGTTGGCGGCACTCGATATTTTTTCACGCATTTGCTGCACCACTTCCGTCACATTATCCACAAACGAGAGCCACATGCCTTTGATTCGATCCCCCAGCCCGGGAGCCTGCGATCCTGCCATAGTTCCTGCTGGCATCTGATCCGTTTCGGCTTGACGTCGCTCCCGATAGAACTTCTTCTTGGAACTGGTCTTCGGACTAACTCGCGATCGTGAGGCATTATTGGCGGCCCTTTTGCGAGCACGCTTCCTGCGCGCTTCCACATCATCGTCCGAGGAGGCGGCCGTGGTCATGGTCATCTTCCAGAAACAGGGGGCTCTCTTGGCTCTCAGGAGACTTCTCCGCTTCCGGCGATCCTCCTCCTCGGATGAGTCTGCAGAGGGCGGCCGCATAGCATCTCCATAACCGACAGCTGTTTTCGAATGCACGGACATCAGGGGATTGTCAAAGTTGATGTCGCGATTGATGGCGGCTCCACTCTGAATGGCCTCGGCTATATTCCCGGCCAGGTTCATGGCCGTCATGCCGAGATTTTCCAGGGGATTCTGAGCCCGAGGCTTGGCCATCACCCCCAACAGGATACTAGTTAGTTCCAGTATTAAAATCAACAATTTAATCCGCTTCATGGTTGAGGTTAAACTGAGATTTTTTCACACCAACCCATGGGCTTTTAAGTTCTCCGACTCTCCGATATATATATTTTTTAATCGCGTGACCCTTTGTATATATTTTTTTTTTTGGATTTTATCAGAAATGTATAACCAAGTAGGCTTCCGGTTTTACGTTTCGGGGAACTGACAAATGAACAGGCTCGGTTGGGTCAGTCTAGCTTGCTCGCTTAGTAAAATCGGTTCGGTTAGTTTTACTTTTATTTCGCTCAAAAAAAAAAAAATCCTCAAAAATTATACCCCAAAAATTATTTTAATCAAAATCCGTAGAAATTCTCAAGTTTTTCAATTACTTAGTGATTTTTTTCTTCTTGTCTGATTCTTCCAAAAAAAAATATAAAATATTTATTCTACAATATGCGTTCCAGCAAAGTTCGTGCAGGAAATGGCCATAAACTGGTAACTGTTATAGGGGTTTTTCTAAATTTTTCTTTTCAAAAGGGATTTCTTTTTGAAATAATATTAATTTATTAAATGAAATTATATTTTTTTTAGCAAGTCACCAGTTCCTTTGCTGGCGGCTTTGGTCCTTCGAGCCTCCAATACCCGGGTGCCTACCAACAGGCAGCCACCGTTAGCGGCAAGCAGCAGAAGGCAGCAGCCGCCCCCCAGCAGTCGCAACAGTTCCTAGGCCAGCCACCCCTCGCCACCAATCCCCCCATCCTGGGCGGACCAGTGGGCGTGGGTGTGGCCAGTATGCCCAGCTATGCGGACCAAATGCACGCCGCCTTCATCGACTACCAGCGCCAGAGGATGGAGTTCGAACAGCAACAGCAGCACCTGCTGCAGAAGCTCTACCACTACTACCCGGACGTGTCGGGCTCCTTGCCGGCCAGCCAGCTCCAGGCGCAGCCCAGCGAGGGGGGACTGCCACTCTCATCGCCGTCGTTGGCGGGTGCCCCCGCGGCAGTTGCCTCCGGCACGGCACTGGGATTCGGAGCTGGATCCGGATCGAGGGGATCCGCCGGCGTCACCTCGTCCCGATTCGCCTACCGGCGACCGCACTTCAGCAGCAATGGTCTCCAGCCGGGTGCAGAACGCGGATCGGTAGCTGCCGCAGCAGCAACAGCAGCAAGCGCAAGTCCAAGCTCTAACTTTGGTTTCTCGACGGGATCACCCAGTCAACATCGCATCCCCGGAAGCGTCGGCGACTTCTATTCCACGCAACAGCACATGGGCTTCATGCAGCAGCAGCAACAGGACGTGCTCCGGGATCAGCAACAGTCGGTGGCCCATCAGTTCGCCACCAGCCAGCTGGCGCCCACCACCCGCCAGAGCTACGGCATGGCGGTGCCCATGTCCTCTGTCCTGGGCACACCCTCCTTCCAGCCCTCGGCCGATGTTTCCCACGTCAGCTTCTCGAGTGGCAACCTCAACTATAGTTTTTGAATGCAACTCCGCCGGCGATAGAGCTCGGGATTCCAGTTAGTCCCTTTGGAACCTAAAACTTTGGAAGAACAAAAAATTGGAGAGAAGTGTTCTGCCCGCCATCTTCCATACCCTCCCCCCATTAACTCGTGTACCTGGCGGAACTTTCTCCTCTCCTAGTATTCTCGATGATTAGTCATTTTCCCCCCGTTGATATTTTTTGCGAAATTTGTTGTGGTATAGAGATAATATATATGATTTAAGAGGAATTGTGTAGGGCAGCAAGAATAAAATTTGTAAGTGATTGAAGAAGTGGTGTTTTAATGGGTGGGGTGTGGGGTTACAAATATATTCAACAAATGTGGGGTATATATTTAAGATGAAATAAGAATAAAAGTAAAATACATATATCGGTTTAAAGTATGTCACTTTTTTTTGACAGTTAAGGCTAATGTATATAAAGGTATTCTGTTCAGTTATGCACTATTTATATTCAAAACTATTATTTATCAAAGCAGCTTTTGAATTTGTATTTAAAATAAACCATTTTTTTATGTCTTTAGGGACAGTTTTTCTCAAATTATTAAGCTTTAAATTTTCCCTACTTTTCGTAGCCAAAGTAGCCATATATTGGCCAATACTTGTCGGATAGTACCATGATATACCTTCCCGATCTTGGAACTTCGAGTACTATCATATTTCATTCAAATCCAGCCATCGAAAATGGGACCCATTTTTCGAAAATTTTATAAGGGGTATCAGGATTTTTTGCAAAAAAATCGATACATTTTTTTTCTTCCATTAAGCCATTTTTCTAATGCAAATCGATGGGTATTAGAACACTGATTCTTAAATGGTATTCCGTTTTAAAATCGGTTCAGAAAGAGTTCATATATACCCTAAAAAGTGATTAAATAATAAATATTTTTGGCAAAAAAAAAAATTTGGAAGACGTGGTTCCAATTTTTAAATTTTTATGATGGAAAAATAGGCATAGCTCGGCCAATACTGGGTAGATCATGAAATGTTATACCTACCCGATCTTAGAACTTCGAGTACCACCATTCTGCATCAAAACCTAGCAATCAAATTTTTGACCCATTTTTAGAAAATTTTATAAGGGGTACCATCATGAATTTTTTCAGAAAATTCGAAAAAAAATTGTTTCTTCCTTTTACCCATTATTTTAATGCAGATCGATGGGTGTTCGAACTCTGATTCTTAAATGGTATTCTGTTCTACAATCGGTTAAGAATTCTTTAAAATATTTGCTAAGAAGTGCATAAAAAACTACCAATTTCGGCAATAAATAAACACAAACAATTTTTCAAATTTTTTTTAGATTTCTAAATTGATAAATGTGTATAACTCGGCTAATACTTGGCAGATCCATAAAAGTTATACCTTCCCGACCTCGAAATTTGGAGTACTTCTAGTTGTAAACAAGATCTGGCAGTCCAAAATCTGAACCATTTTTCAAAAATTTTCCAAGAGGTACCATCATGATATTTTCAAAAAATTATATTTGAATTATATTTTGGGAACATTATTTTTCTTAAATATTGCGATTATTTTTAATGCACGTCGCAGGGTATTCAAGTTCTGATTGATAAATGGCACTCTGTTTTGGGATTGGATGAACAATTTCTAAAATAATGACGAAACTGTGAATAAAAATGGTCTTCCTACCAAAAAGTTGTAATATTTTATAATTTTTTTTACAAAATAACCCAAAATATAATTTTTATTTCTAGAAACTACAATTAATTAATACCCGAATAGGCTCTGATGGGCCATTTTTATTTATTTTTCTTGAAATGGGATTAAGGGATTCTAACTGAAAAATATATCCAATTTTAATGTTAATTTTGGGCTAATTTTGATAATTTTTGTGTCCAATTGAAATGAACTAAATTGGTTTATTTAAAGGGGGGAGGGGTAGGGGGCTCTATGGGAAATGAACATTTGAAACCGAAACCGAAACCGTGACTATCTGAAAGTCATCTCGACAGTGAAACCTCAACCTCAAACCGTAATGTACCTTGTTTTCAGTGCTTTTGTGCTTTTATTGAATAGAATCTGTTTATTGGGTTTATAATCTCATTTGGTGGCATTGAGGGGAGGGGATATACATAGTTGTTGTTGCCACTCAGCCCGGTCTATAGACTCATTTAGTCTGCTGAACTAACAACCATATTGCGGCGGTATTAATAGATATCCATGGAAATGCACGCGCTCTGTCTAACCCGCCCCTGCCACTCTTCCTTCTCCTTGTCATCCTCCTGCACCCCTTTTAATCCACCCATGTCGGTGGCAGCCCCCCCTTTTCCACCATCTATCTACCGAACTCTGCCGATAACTAACGATATATCTCCGGGGGCTACAATGGAATGGAAACAATCGCCTTGGTTACCCCAACTGAGAGAGGAGGGGTGGACTGGGTGTAGGGGGAGGGGGGACGTAGTGGTGCCAATGCATGCAAACACATATGAATGCCCCCCGGGGGGTGTGCGAGGGTGAGCTGCTCTCGAATCCTTTGAGTGGCAACCGCATGCCACGTGTGCATTCAGGACAGGCACTGAGGGAAATCCTTCCCACCGAAAACTACCTAACAATTATTAAAATTACCTTCTTTAAAGTACTCACAGTTTCTTGCAGTGCATCGCAGCGATGAGTGCAATTCGGATGCCGATGCCTTTTGTGTGTGGCCTCGAATATGCGACAATAATCGAGAAGTTCGCTGGCTCCTAGCCGGCGGCCCGGTTCCAGGTACACCCCAGCCAGTGGGTGAGTTATGCAATTTCAGATCCAACCACCCCCCCCAACTGCGGCACAACAGGTGTCCTTGGACATGACCAGGAGCAAGGCCAATGTAAAAACAGTTAATACACAGAAGCCAAAAAAAACACGACTATTGCATTAGAAGAGGTGGTGGTGGGGGCGAGAAAATCCCGTGGAAAGCCAGAAGAGAAAAGCCATGTTATAACCCGCTGACAGAGCCACCACAGCCACCACAACATAAATGGCCAACTATTGTTGCCAACACAGCACCACCCCCCCGAAGGATGCTAGTATATCAATAAAATCCACAAAAGGATATCAAAGCAAATACACTTCCATTCTCGAATCCCGAAACGCAAACACCCGCACTCCCTCACAGGAATTCAATTATTGAAAGGCAACTGGAGAGTAGTCGCCTTTGGGCCGAATATTAATTGGCTAAAAACACCAAGAGATTTCTGTTTTTTTTTTCCAGGTATTTGCATGGAAAATTCCAATTCCTCTGCTAGTTGTGTCTCTGCGGCCAAAATAAACAGAGCTCCTGGCCCGAATGAGTCACTAAGCAAATACAGTTACTAAATAAGCCTACGTGTGTATCCAACAGATACAGATACAAGCAGATAACTGCAGATACGCAGTATCCCACATTCATAGACGAAAGCAAACACACACATCGTCCTTTTTGGGTCTCGAGGAGTATGTGTTTTTTGGGGAATTTGCCAAATGTTTCCAACCCACTCATCCACCCACCCACACTCACCTGCTCACCTGCTCACCTAAACTGCATTCTACAATCATTTGGCCACTACACTATCAGCTTTCCTAATTAGCTACTTAATTAGCAAACAACTTCTCCCCCAAGTGGCCAAAAAACCACACAAGCGTTTAAAGGCTTACAGAGCCGACTGTAGTATGTGATGACTATCTTACCGGCTGATGGGGGGGCTATTATTGTTTCAAAACCTAAAAACTAAGTTGCCCCAAACCGAGTCAGATTATCAAAACAAATCGCCCATAAATGGCTTTTACTTTTCCATTTGCACTTTTAGTTTAAAAGATACTTGAAAAGTATAGATAAAGATTTCTGTTTAAGGAGATAAGGGTCTTAGTTTGCTGTTAGGGATTACAAGGGATAAGTAGTTTAGTTTAAGCTTCCAACAGGGCAAATACGGGGCAATGTATTGTATAGAATAGAAATATAATCAACTATTTTTTTTAATTCTTAAAAAAAAAATCCCTACTTTTTATAGCCAAACTAGCCATAACTTTGGCAATACTGATCGGATCACAATATGTTATACCTTCCCGAACTTGGAACTTTAAGTATTATCAAATTTGATAAAAGTCTGGCCATCGAAAATTCGACCTATTTTTCGAAAATTTTATAAGGGGTACCATCATAATTTTTTGCAAAAAATTCGATAAAATTTTTTTCTTCCTTTTACCCATTATTTTAATGCAGATCGATGAGTTTTAGAATACTGATTCGTAAATGATATTCTGTTCTAGAATCGGTTGAGAATTCTTTAAAATATTGGCTAAGAAGTGAATAAAAAACTATTGAAGAAGATTATTGTCCTGATTCATAATCAGTTTTGCATTCATATGCAGAATGGACGAAACAATTCCTTTCACAATAAACCACAAACTATTTTAATTAGTATTTAATTACATATAATACTAATATTAATAAATATTTTATTATATATTTTACCAAAGACCTGTTTTTGTTTTCAAAACCCCCACTAGTAATTGCCAAAATGGGCCTCGAACAAGAGTGTTTTCCATCTATGATTTCTTGAAATGGGATTAAAGGATTTTAAATGTAAAATATGCCAGATTATAATGCTAAAAGGGGGGGATGTCATTTGCTAATGCATTTCATAAGTTTGTAATAATTAATTACACTTACTTGTCAGTCACTGCCGGCGTCACTGGAACTTTCTAATCCTGGTCAGCTGCCGCCTGCGATGGCAGCCATCCTTGTTGGCAGTTATCCTTGATGATGGGCTCCTTGCTTACTAACTGGGCTCGGATGGATGGACTCTTTCGGGCCACCATCATTCAGGCCAAAAGCGAACAGTCAATTGTTGTAACTCCGTCACTGTGTGACATTTAAGAATGTCCCTATTTTGGGGGGCAATAATTTTTAGGCCAAAGACCGAAAATAAACCGGGTTAACATCTATTTCGGTGTCGTGTATGCTGTGTGTGTGACGTAAATTGGTTTTCATTTTAGAAAGAGGGATGGGGTGGAGGGGGGGCAGGGGTTAGCACTTTCACTGGATATTGCGAATATTTATGTATGTGGGTGTTAATCCCTGTATTTGAAGCCGGGTTTTTTATTTCTCTGGCCAATTTAAAAAATGTTCTGCGCCATAAAGTATGCTGATCAACTGATGCATGGCATATAAATCTCGACTTGCAACGTCCTTGCCATATATCATATTTTTTTTTTTGGCCAACCTCCATTCCCCTCCCCCTCCTCCGTTTTTTTTGTTAAGCTTCAGTTTACAACAATGAGTTATTATTTTTTTTATTACATTTTCTTTTTGTTCCAACATTTCCACATGCATTTCGTTTCATTTTACAAAATATAGTTTAAATACAGCGTAAATTTAACCGCGATAAAAAAAAAATTACAACACATACGACAACAGCAGCAACAACAACAACAACATCATCATCAACAACATGGCAATAATATGAACACAATGTAACCACAACCATCCCCACCTTTACACCCCTTTTGATCCTGGGGCCCAGGTGGGTCACAAAGAGCACTCTCTCTCCCTCAACTCACTCCACTCACTCGCTGACTCTCGGTGCAGTTAACAAATTGAGTTTTAATTAAGGCGTCCAGGCTACCGACACGCTCTGGGTATTATTCTACCCATTAGTGTTCTCCTCTCCTCTCCCTTTTTTTTATTTTGTTGTTGTTGCTCTTGTTTTTGTTCGGGTACGATGGGCGTTTGGGCGTTGGGTATAACGGGATGATGGAAAGAGATGGAATGGCGTCGCGTATGGCGTACTCCACTTTTTGCTTAGTAGCCATAGTGAATGCCATGGCCGGATACCGATGTATGTACCAGAGCGGGAGCGGCGACAGCGGCCCTGAAAAATAAAGAGAGCAATAGGAAGAGAAAGGTGAGATGGGCGATTATGAGGAGTATTAATAAGGCAACCTCCGGTGTACACTCACTTCACGACGGGGGCGGCCAGATGCGTAGTGTAGGCGGGAGCAGCATAGGCGGGGGCAGCTAGTCCGATGCCGTGTCCAATGATTCCAGGAGCTATATATTTTCAAGGGGAGGGGGTGGGAGGTAAAGGAAAACATACAAAACAAATAAAGTCAGCAAGTGGTATGCAAAAAAAAAAGAAAAGAGATGAGATATGGTCATAGAAACAAAGACAGAGACGGAGATACAGACAGTAGTAGTACAGGGGTACACAGGTGGAAAGTAGGTACAGGTGGAGATGGATGATAAATAAACAGCTGATGGTAGAAGAAGAAGATGATGGAAGAAAGAGGAGCCAGGGGAGCCAGGGGAGCCAGGGGAGGAGACAGACAGTTGGAGCTTTCCTAAATTAGCATCGTGCCCATTGTTTGGACAATTCTACGAGTCCTTCGAGAGCGGACGACCCCACACACTTAACGGTTGTCAGCGGCAACCACCTGTCACAAGACGGGGGGACACCCACGAGGCTCTCATGCACAGAGAGAAATTAAACAAAAGAGATGCTCTCTATTATAGGTTTGATAAGAGAAGGAAGACAGTAAGGTTTCTACTCTTTTTCAAGAGGGGAATCTTTTTTTAAAACAAAATTTAAATGTTTTAGTTAGAAATTCTTTAAAAATCGAAACAACTATAGTCCTATTTTTTTCTCTGCCTTTTAAAGTTTGTCTTCCAGCTTAAAGTGACCTCGCTGGCCTTTGCCTTATACTGCAAACTGAGAGAAAGTGACGCTGCTCTCCATCTCTCTCTTCCGTTGGCCAAAAATGTCAGGCCCAACATCAATCAAGTGAGGCAGCCCAAGTAACGGTAACTTGGTGACTCGCTGATTCGGTGATTGGGTGGACTCTCTCCCCATCACCCCACCACCCCAAGGGATGCAGTCTACAAAGAGGGCAACTCGATTTGTAGTACAAACCTTGACCGTTTTTACCGTTTCTACCGTTTCTACCGTTCTACCGTTTGGAACGTGTAGAAGGAGTGCCTATGGGGCTTAAAAGACGACCCGAGTCAATGAATGATTGATTACAGGCCGACCACCGGATGGGTCCCCCGATCCTACTTTCGGGCAGGTTGTATCTGTTTTTTGGCAAGACAAATCGATGCTGAATGGTCCAAAAAAACAAAAAAAAAAATATAAACATAGATTATCCTTCAGGAGGTGAGGAAAGCATATATCGATTACAAGTGGGAGTTATTTGTTGAGGAATTGCTATTTCTTGTAAGAAATTTTGTTAAAGGACTTGGTTCTTAAGAGGTGGCAGTGAGGTAGTTTTATGGTTTTAGATACTTTTCTAATAGTCTTTCTGACTTTTAAAACCTTTTAATAACATTTTATTTTAATTTTAAATATTCTGACATAATATTTTAAAGAGTTTTTGGAAAGAAATCATTAAAATTGATTCGGAAATATACAGTTTTATATATTTCGGTATGGAATATACAAAAGATATATACGAAAGATTTAGAAAGAATGATTCTTTTTTCTATATTTTTTAGATAACTAATACTATGATCATTTTTTGAAATTATTTGAGTACATTTTTAGCTTTTGAGTTCTAAAAACTCATTAAAACAACGCCCCTTTTTGTCAGGGCCTTAAATCCTCTTAAGAATGTCCTTAGGACAAGACGCTTTCCTTGATTTTTTAGAGGTTAAAAGCTTGTAGCCTTTTTTAGAGCCTTTAAAGATAATGTACTTTTACTTTTAATATTCTGAAATAGTATTTTTTGTGAAAGAATTATTGGAAAATTTTTTAAATTTGTGCTTTCTTCATTTTAGTTAAAGAATACAAGTTTCTAGATATCAAAAGTACTAATATTTTTCTTACTATGCTATTATGAGGATGTGTATTATTATTATTTATCTCTAAAACTACTTTTCTTTATATTCTCAAGCTATTTAGTTATTATCTTAAACATTTTAAATTATTTTAATACCTTTTAAGCCAGAAACTCATTCAAAAAGTATTTTGGTATTTTTGATCAGTGTGTTAAAGCCCCTTGAGAATGTCCTTAGGACCACATTCTATCCTTCTTAAGGCATCTAAAGGACCTCCCTAACCGTTTTAATCAAATTAAAATAGTTTTTCTTTATTCCTGCAACCTACCTATCTCCCCAAACGGATCTTCCTTCAAGGTGTAACCACTATTCTTTTTCTTTTCTACTTGTTTTCTTTTATTTATTTATTATTCTATCTGTTTTTGTTTTTGCATTTACTTTAGAGAGATGGTAAGTAAACCCCCCCCCTACAACCCGCTCTTGGCTGCTCCTCTTACCAACAACTCCAGAAACTTCTGTTGGCGAAACTTTGTTTTTGCCAAGTGCACTCTTCTTGGCCAGCAAAGCGAAAACAGCATCAAGTTTTTAAAGTGCATTCCCCCCCCTTTTTTTTTTTTTTTTTTTTTTTTTTTTTTAAGAAAATAACAAAATCTTGTAAATAAAAATTAGTGGAAATTCGCTAAATAGTTGAAGAATTCAAGACATAAAACGAAGAAAAGCAAAAAAAGCGTGCAAAGAGTGCAGAAAGTGAGGTTAAAGGCATTTTTTTAAGCAATTTTTAGATAAGAAATTTTTTAGTAAAAGATTCTCAGGTTTCCGTATCCGGTTTCCACCTTACCGTAAGCTGGGGCAGCAGCGGCGTATTTCAACACTGGAGCCGGGGCGGCGGCGGCGATGGGGGCATGGCCAGCGATATAGCCGTGCGAGATAGAGGGCGCTGCGGCATAGGCGCTATAGCCCCCGTAGCCATAGCCCCCGTAGCCGCCCAGGGCGTGTCCGAGTCCCAGGCCGGAGAGCTGCAGAGCCGGAGCCGTGGCTGCGTAGTGTCCGCCGTAGGCGAGTCCCTGGATTTGGGCGGGGGCGTGGCTGGCGTAGGCCAGACCCTGGATCTGGGCGGGAGCCGTATGGCCCAGTCCCAGGCCCACGGAGTACGCCGGAGCAGCAATAGCATGGGCAGGTGCTGCTTTTATTTTTTTATTTTTTATGGTTTTTGTTTGTTAATTTTAAATTATATTAAAAAATAAAAAAATAACTACGTGCTTGTGGTTCAAGTGTTTTGTTGCAAGTGAGGTGGTGCTTTTTGTTTTGTGGAGGTCTTAAGGTAACTACTGATGGAAGATCCTCTCAAGAAACTCACCTGCATAGCCATGGGCGGCAACGGGCGCCAGTCCGGCATCGTTGCTGATGCTGGAGCGCTGGACATGCGACTGCGAGTGGGCGGTCTGGACCTGGGAGGCGTAGTCCGACTGCGACGACTGACCATAATGACCCTTGACCGTGTGCTCCTGCGTGCTGCCAACGGAGGCGTGGTCGACGCTCGGTGCGCTAATGGAGTAGGCGGCCGGACCGCCGGGCTTTGCCTGTACGCTGGCAAGGAGTGCCAGGAGTGCCACACAAAGGACCTGCCGGCGAGAAAGGAATACGTAAGACAGTCTTCTGGTTGCGTACAGGAAATTGCACTGCAGAATGCTAGGCGAAAGTTTTAATTAAGTTCAGAAAGTTATACAAAAAACGAGAAAGTGGGAACTTCAACCTTGAAAGGGGGGAGTCTGCTCAACTCCTTCTTCTTAAACAAACAACAGGTGAAAGGACAACAATAAACAAGAAGAATTAGAGTAGATTCTCATGAAACTAAACTGCTTAAAAGTGCTTAAGTGATTTCATAAATTATACAGAAAAGTGTCTGAAAAATGAAATCTTAAAAGAAAACTGAAAACTATTAAAGTTCTATGAAAATCAGGTAGGGATTAGAGACTATAAAGTAGCTACGATACTATGATAGATATTTTTAATAAAAATATTACGATTTATGCTTCTATTTCTATATATGTATTTCTATTTATATTCATATTTTTTTAAGCCCAAGATTTTTCTTAAATAAAAATCCTTGCACATCCTTGACGTAATTGTGGCTTCATAATTAGCTATTTATGGGCCCCCGTCACTGGCTGACAATCAACAAAAATTAGCATGCGTGTTGGACTTGCTCTAGTTTCTAGCTTCTGCCTTGAATTGCAAACTATGGAACTATGAAACTATGAATTTCAATTGCCAGTCTAGAACTTGGCCAAGGGGATTGTGGCTAAAAGGGGACAAGCGACACAGAATGGACATACATGTCCAACCCAGTTATCCTGTCAGAAGGAATATGTGGTAAGCTCACTGTTTATTTCCCTTTTTTTTGTGTGTCCTTTTCTGACAAGTGAAAGGACAACAAGTACAGACTTTGAACTCTTGCTGGTTTGTTACATTCTCCTTTTTTTTTCTATTTTTGGTTTTTTTTTTTAAATATTGTTTTTTGAAATGTATCCTTGTATCCTTGCCACACTGTCACACGCACCTTGAATGCCATTTTGTTGAGGTTTTGGTTTTTTTTTGTTTTTCACTAAAAAAATTAGGTAACTCGACTCGATCGACTGGCGATTGTTAACTGTCTCAAAACGCAATTCTTTGGGGCCTATTTATATGCCGAAACAGCCAGCGATTTTTGCTCTCGAAATATATGGTGCACTTTTTTAGTTTGCAGTTTTTTTTCGCAGTTTTTCCAACTCGAACTCAAACACACAACAACAAAAAAACAAGAAAGGTAAAGCTTAGTTCGAGGGGAAGTCTAAGGTTGGATACTCTTTTTGGAAATATTTTTGTTAGGATTTGATTTATGGAATATAAAAAAATGAATAAGGTATATAAGGTATATTCTTTAAAAGTATAGATATAGATATTATAATGAATAGCTATTATTCTATGATACTAGTTGATAGTAGATAGTAGTATTATCAGTATCAGTATAGATCAGTATAGATATTAATGATAAATTATTAAAATTATTATTATTAAAATTCGTATTACAAATTTCTGTAAGGGGTTTATTAAGTCCCATTTATGAGAAGCGAGGAAGAGAGCTCTGTTTAAGTTTTAGGGAAGTATATTTATACTTAGCGCTTTTATTTTTTGCGATAATTATATATATATATATATTTTCCTTCCTATATTATCCTTTCTATATTATTTTGATAACTAAGTAAAAAGAAGCGTGTTGGGTGCTCTCGAAGTGAGTGGGTTATTTTATAACAATAAATATATTTATTATAAAATCCATAAAAAAAAAAATTATTTTAAATAAAAATTTTATTAACTGGCTTATTAAGTGCCACTTATGAGAAGCAAGGAGGAAGGCGCTTTTATTTTTCAAGAATTTTTTATATATATGTGTGTAATTCTCTTCTAAACAAATTATAGCTAAAGTATTCTTATTATTATTATTATAATTCCTTCCTATTTGCATTGTTAACTAGACACTATTTGAAATATAAGCCTATAGAAAGGACGCTGAAGACTTGAAATTTTAATAACATATCTCCAAGTCGTTCCAAGCATTTAATATAATTTAACTTATAAAGCATCTACATATCAGAGCCTTTATCACAGCTTTGCCTTCCATCCACTGCCCATTTTATAACAAAACCACACTACCAACTGTAAGAGTATCAAAAAAAAGCCTACAACTACAGAACGGGTTATGGCCAAGTTGGCAAAGCAGGCAGCAGCAAACTTAAACTAAAAAAAAACTCAAACTCAACCGATATGTGTATAAATTGAAACGCAGGCGTGTCGCACTACGCAACTTGATAGCCACCCCCTCAAAAAAAATAAATAAATAAAACACAGGCCCCCCTCTTTAGGCCAACATAACATTAATTGCTTTTGTTTAATTGGAAATTTGTCTTAACTTGTTCATTGGATTTAAAGGCATTTTCCCCTTCAAACCACATATCGAAATTATTGAACTCTGCCTTTGATGGCCACGCCCTCGTTTTGCTATTTTTATAAAGAAACTGGATGTATTTGTGGAATCTTGAAGAGCGGGAAATCGAGAAAAGCCTTTTTTTGATTTTCAAAACATTTCCAGAAAAGAAAACATCATTCACTTGGCACTTGTCAGATGTTTTTTATTAATGGCCTCTTTAATCGGTGTTTTCTTTTTTATTTTTGGTTTTTTTTTTGGGCCCAGCCTACAGGCATTTTTTGGTTATTTCAGGCTTTTTTAAAGGAGTGGCAACTTAGTGTTATCCTTTAATTAAGATTTAAGGTAAGACTTTCCAAGGGAAAATCTTGAAAGACTTTCCTTATTTTTATTAGAAGTATTTAATATTTTATTTTATTTTATTTTTTATAGGGTATCATAAGGTTCTTAAGTTTATTAATATTTTCGCTATTTTTTCGCACATTCTCACGCAGCAGAAAACTGGCTCGCAGAATGGGCGCGGAAATTGGGCAGCAGATCGGATCAAATCGGTCTGGGGCTTAGCTTTTGGGTCGCAGTTTGGAACTTGGACTCCATATAACAAGCCCAAAGGCCCCAACAAAGCTTGAGGACCTAATACAACAACAACCAGCATTTTGAAAGGCTGTTTTCAGTCGCGCGAATTTTTTGCGTCTGGGAGGCATTTTTTAATTTATTTTATTTTTTTGTTGTTGCTAGTTTGATTTGCGATTTTTGATCTATGGTACTTTTTTGTTGTTTGTTTTTGTAATACTCTTAAAGGTGAGTACTTTAATTGTGTCTTATATCTCTATAAGGTATTTATTTTTATACCCTTGCAGAGGGTATTATAATTTTGTCCAAAAGTGTGCAACGCAGTGAAGGAGACATCTCCGACCCTATAAAGTATATATATTCTTGATCAGGATCACCTCCTGAGTTGATATGAGCATGTCCGTCTGTCCGTCTGTCCGTCTGTCCGTCTGTCTGTCCGTCTGTCTGTCTGTCCGTTTCTACGCGAACTAGTCTCTCAGTTTTGAAGCTATCGTCTTAAAACTTTGCACACACCCTTCTTTCCTTTGCACGCAGTATATAAGTCGGAACGGCCGGGATCGGCCGACTATATCCTATAGCTGCCATATAACTGATTGATCGGAAATGGTATAACTTTGGTGTTTTTAAATTTAGAGACTTCAAATTTAACATGAGAGCTATTTTTGGCGACAAATTACGACATGCCAAATTTCATAAGGATCGGCCGACTATATCTTATAGCTGCCATATAACTGAACGATCGGAAATGACCCAACTTTCGTGTTTTTGAAGATAGAAAGCTGGAATTTGCTACAGATTATATTTTTGGTCAGTTAATCCGACCTACCAAATTTCATTAGGATCGGCCGACTATATCTTATAGCTGCCATATAACTGAACGATCGGAAATGGTATTTGGTAGAAATATCAACTTTCGTATTTTTGAAGATAGAAGCTTGGGACTTTTTTTTAGATTTTTTATTTTAATTAATTGGTTTTATTATGATGTAATCATAAGGATCGGCCAACTATATCCGATGTTTGCGATATATATCCAGTTTTAACTGCAAGGGTATATAAACTTCGGCTCCGCCCGAAGTTAGCTTTCCTTTCTTGTTTTGATTGGAAAGGCTAGAGAGTTATTAGAAGCTTGTTAAGGGGGTCTGAGTGTCCGGTAAGTCGTTTCTAGAGTAGATTAGTCTCTTTATTTAAAGGTATTATTCCCAAATGAATACCCAAAACCATTATTATATTTCTAAAATCTATATAAATAGAGATCCAAAGCATCAAAAGACTATATACTAAATATAACTCACCAATGGGAAACTTCATAATTCCCATATTTTTAGAGACAGAACTTGTTCCATATTTTTATAATTTTTTTTCCATAAAGAACCTAAATCTTTGTATCTATATCTTTATCTCGACCTAAAACTATGTATATCCTAGACTCAACCAAGAGTATTTAAACTTCATCTTCTATCAAACTAATATTTTCCTTTTTGATATTTTTTTTTTAGTATTTATTGGCAATCTTTGTGGGTCGCTTTAAAATTTATGCGCACTTTGTGCGTTGTCGTGACTCCGAGATACATATATGTATCTGTATCTGTATCATATAAGATAGTTACTGGAGCAAGTGAGAGTGTGGCTATACCTATTGGTTGTGTAATTTGGGTCCCCCAGCTGGGGGCACAAAATACAACAAATATTTCGCAACGCCAAACAAACAACAAAAAAATATATATGAAGCTGGGAAAATCGTATGTCTTGTCTTTGATTTTTTTTTGTTTTTTGAGAAAATTGAGAAAAAGTGCAAGGCAAGTAGTGGGTGGGGAGGGAAGGGAGTGGAGTGGAGTGGAACAGGACAAAAGGACGTCAGTAAAAGCATTATCAAGCAGTAGATGGCGCCACTTGTTTTGGCATTGCCAATTGTCGTAAATGGCCAAAAGCAAATAACAGGCTACAGGGATAAAAAATGGGTTAAGAAATGAGTTTAAAAATGAGTTTAAAAATAGGGAAATATTTATTAAATATTTTAAATTAAATTATAAATCTTAACTAGATTATAAATTATAATTTTTATAAGAAGTACTCTCTGTTTTTTTAGAGAATAACCTTTAATTATATTCTTAAAAAATACTTTTAGTTTAAGAATTATTCTCCAAGTGCCTTGACAGCCCAGCAAATGGATTACTTTCCTCAAGAAGCCATTAGGTCTGCATAATACATGATTAAATCTTTTGTTTAGTGTTTGTTTTCTGTGTAAAAATAAAGTCAATTCCCTCGATGCAGCGACAATCATCGATTGTCATTGTTGATGAGATATCCCTGCACCTCTCGGCTCTCGGCGAGGAGCGAGGAATGTCCTTCTCTCCTTTGTTTTTTCTCTCCTCCATTGTGTAATGTCCTGATGTTTCAATTATGTACCCCAATGACAACACCCCAACCCCTCTTTCGAAACATTTACACACAATGACAGGCGCCGCGGGCCACGCAATCTGCGAGCTTTTTGTCTCCGACATTAATTTGTATAATTGCAATGCCAATACAGGCGTAGTCGGGTGCACCGGGCCATAGCCATAGCCATAGCTATAGTCATAGCCATTGCCATTTCAATGTCCTTTAACCAGGGATAGGAGTGTGGGACAGCCACCCACTCGTCACGCCTGTGGTGGTGTCCAGTCAGGCGCAACACCAAGAAGTGGGTCACCAAGGGGCAGGCAACGCAGCCGCAGAATTTGGGAAAGGCTCGAGTGATATGGCTACAAGGAGCTAGTTGGGGTAAGGATATAATGATATCCTTGATTAAACTAAAGACTAATATTTTTTTAATAAAATAATTAAACTTAGTTATTTCTTCAAGAACCGTTTTATAAAGCTATTTTTTTTTAATAAAAAGAACTTCCTTTTTCTAGGATATCCTTTAAGTTTTGACCCAAAAAAGCCCTGATTCCAGCCAACGTCTGTCATTGTTTCCATGCTCCATTGTGGCATGATTGCTGTTGCGGCATGAGGGTGTTGCTGGCTATTGTTGTTTTTAGTGTTTTTTTTTTTTCTGGCATTTTCTGAGCCGCCACGGCGACATTTGCCTAAATACTTTGCAACACTCGACCATTATCACACATGCCGTTTTCTATTTTTGCTCGTTGTTGGATAAAGAGAGAGAGATAGAGAGAACTAGAGAGATAGGTGTCCTGGCAGGACCTCCATTCTGGTCGCCCTTTTGTTGGCATTTTGCGTGGAATTTCGAAAAGGCGAAGATTAATGTCCGACATGACCTGACAGCGCCGGGTCAACATGGCATCGATATCCATTCGATACATGTGGGAAAGAAGAGGGAGTTATGGACCCAAAGACCCATCGCCTAATCACACCCACTAAATGGTAACAAACTTATAAAGAATATACCCCCTTTAAACATAGTGAAAATACATGGAAGCACAATATGGCCCACAGCGATGGCTATATCTTTGCCAATAGTCACCCGATTCTTGAGCGGAGTACCTTAAACGATTTGTGGGCCGATTACCTTTTAATCTGCATCAAAATCTAGCTACAAAATATTTTTCACATTTTTTGTCAAATTTCCTGGAGGATCCCTTTCAAAAATGGGCAAAATGCATGGAGGTCCAATATGGCCCACGGCGATGGCTATATCTTTGTCAATAGTCACCCGATTCTTAAGCGGAGTACCTTGAACGATTTGTGGACCGATTACCTTTGATTCTGCATTAAAGAAGTATCACAAATATATTATAATAAGTGCCACTTCCATAAATAAAAGGGCTAAAAATATACTTTTATATCTAAAGATCTCTACTACAAGTACTGTACTACTTGTTACTGGGTAAATGGCCACCAGGTGGCGCAGTTTTCCACGAAGGCAGCCTGGTGGCGTGGCAAGCACCCACTGGCACTACCCACCTCTCCACACAATTAGGAAAAAAAAAACTAGAGCAACGTCCTGACATTACGCGCTATTAACTGCAAACGCATTAAAATTTAACCTTCAATTACAAAATCAATAAAAGTGCGCCCGCCTCCTCTACTCTAAGATCTTTTTAGGCCAGATATACCGCCCCCGGTACTCTGGTACCCCCCCCTTAGTAACGCCTTTGTCTGTCTCGCTAATTTGATTTTCTTGTGTTGGATTTTTGTTGGACGAGGTGCGGTGATTTCAGTCTTTTGTTGTCTTCAATCTTTTATTTTCATATATATTTTTATACCCTTGCAGAGGGTATTATAATTTTGTCCAAAAGTGTGCAACGCAGTGAAGGAGACATCTCCGACCCTATAAAGTATATATATTCTTTATCAGGATCACCTCCTGAGTTGATATGAGCATGTCAGTCTGTCCGTCTGTCCGTCTGTCCGTCTGTCTGTTTCTACGCGAACTAGTCTCTCAGTTTTAAAGCTATCGTCTTGAAACTTTGCACACACCCTTCTTTCCTTTGCACGCAGTATATAAGTCGGAACGGCTGGGATCGGCCGACTATATCCTATAGCTGCCATATAACTGATTGATCGGAAATGGTATAACTTTGGTGTTTTTAGAGTTAGCGAGTTCAAATTTGACATGAGAGCTATTTTTGGCAAAACATTACGACATGCCAAATTTCATAAGGATCGGCCGACTATATCTTATAGCTGCCATATAACTGAACGATCGGAAATGACCCAACTTTCGTGTTTTTGAAGATAGAAAGCTGGAACTTGGTACAGATTATATTTTTGGTCAGTTAATCCGACCTACAAATTTTCATTAGGATCGGCCGACTATATCCTATAGCTGCCATATAACTGAACGATCGGAAATGACCCAACTTTCGTGTTTTTGAAGATAGAAAGCTGGCACATGGTACACATTCTATTTTTGGTCAGTCAATCCGATCTACCAAATTTCATAACGATCGGTTGACTATATCTTATAGCTGACATATAACTGAACGATCGGAAATGGTATTTGGTAGAAATATCAACTTTCAAATTTTTGAAGATAAAAGCTTGGGACTTTTTTTTAGATTCTTTATTGTAATTAATTGGTTTTATTATGATGTAATCATAAGGATCGGCCAACTATATCCGATGTTTGCGATATATATCCGGTTATAGCTGCAAGGGTATATAAACTTCGGCTCCGCCCGAAGTTAGCTTTGCTTTCTTGTTTTTTTGTATTTTTGGTATGCGACAGAAGTGGGCATTGCCCTCGATTGTGCCACGCCCTCTTGTTTGTACGCCCATTAGCATTGCCTTAATTTCGTTGTGCAATCTGCGCATTTATTATTTTTTATTATTTTCTGATTTCTGTCTTGGCTGTCATTATGAGAAAATAACTCAATAACCCACAATATTTTATAAATTCTTCAGAAAAAATATTAAAAACCATTTCAAGGATAAAAGGTATAGATTCTTTAAAATAGATATGTATATAATATTATAATCCTGAATACTCTATAAATTAGCAGAGTGTTTGTCTCCGCCACACTAATAGTGGCGGAGATTAGTGACTGATTTTTAAGATACGCTATTGGAAAAATATTCAAAAGAGGGAAATTCAGATAAAACTTTCTTTTAATTCCTATAAAATACAATCCCCACAAAGATAATCTCCAATCTAGAGCTTAATATTGTATACCTTTAATACCAATGTCTATCTAAAAGGTTCTATAATAATTTAGAGATAAGTGGAATTATAAAATATATATAAACTGTAACCACATAACCCCCAAACTATTGTAGTCTATTATCTCCAATTTGAGTTTCTAATTTTTCGACCAACTCCTTAACAACCTCAAACAATATTAAAGTTAAAAAAAAGTTACAAGAAAAATTGCATATTGTTTAAGAAAATTCAGCCGGAATTCAATTTAATTGTTTGTGGAATGGCCAGGTGAGTTGGATGGTGGTTGGAGGAGATTCCACCGATTCTTGAGGAGGTAGTGGGCGATGGCAAGTAGGCAGCATCAGGCAGGTGGCAAGCAGTCAGGTGGCAGGTGGATGTCGTGGGCAAAAGTAACAATATGGTTACCGACAACAAAATTTGGACTTTTAATGGAATTTAATTGGAGGCCCAAAACGTGAAAAAATACAAGAACGGAAATTTTGGGGGAAGACGAAATATGTAGATACTGAATCTTAAAAAGAAGAGTCCTTGGAAACTTTAGATAATGACTTTGAGCAAGTCCTGTGCTTCTGGAATCTCTATTGATACGACCTTGGTGAAAGTGACATCCAATTCCAGAGACTTGGCCAAGTGCTCGTCGCTCAAGTCATGGCGGCGACTACGCAACTCCATCAACAGGGCCGGAAAGACCTCGCAGGAGATCTTAGGACACCGCCTTACGCTCAACACCCTCAGCCGACGCAACTTTTTGACCAGATTCACAACGGTAGTGTTGGTTAAATACGTCGAGCCACTCACGTTCAAGTATCGGAGATCGGAAAGGTTCGCCAAATCCCTTAAATCGAAATCAGAAAGATCTTGGTTCGGCAACGTCAAACTTTGCAGATGGGTGAGACGAGTAATGGCCCGCAGACTGTCGATGCCCACAAAGCTCGAATTTGCATACCCGATGTCCAAATGCTCCAATATGTTCTTCTCCGCGAGGGCACTCATCAGAGAATCCTTGACGGAATAGGGTTCTGGCTCTATCGGCAGGGGCACCAACGTCAATCTCGTCAGCTCTGGAAAATTAGCAATCTCATCCTCATCCTGGTAGGGGCACACAGTGACCTCCAAGATATACAATTTTGGGCACTTGACAACAAGCGGTTTGTAGACCTCCTCGTTCGTATTGGGCTCATTGTCCTCCATCCATTCCACGTTGATGGTCCGGTACAGGATGATCGAACACCTGAGATTACGCAATTGTGGTCGGTTGCCCAGCCGCTGAAGGTTGCTAGGCTTGAGGTTAGGGCACCGACTCAGGACCAGGGTAGCTATGGAGTGGGGGAGAGCATAGAGGGTCAACCCCACTAAGCCCGTGTTCCACCCCACATCAAGATACATAATCGAAGACATTTCGTTCAGAGATAGCAGGTCATGGTCCATCAGTCCACAGCGCCGCAGTGTTAGTTCCGTGATGCATCGTATTCCCTGGGAACGTTCGAACAGGTGGTTCAAGTGAAAGTTAGTCAGTAGCACTTCGGTCAGGTGAACGCTTTTTAGGGCCGGGCAACATGGCCCCAGCATCGTGACCAGACGCTTCATGTGCGGCCACCGCATCGGCAACGGTCCGCCCAGGATCACCTGGATGTGCGGCCCCGACAGACGCATCAGCTCCGTGATTCCCCAATCGGTCAGTTCGCCCAACTCCGCCAAATACAGCACCTTGGTGCAGTTCTTCGACTCCAGCAGGTAAATCTCCTCGAAGCGCGGGCACGTCGCCGCAAAATTGATCCGCGACTCCAGCGTCAGGTATTTTCTCACCACAGTGCGTAGTACATCGTCGGTGATCGCCAGATCATAACCGGAAATGGTTCCGCCTCCAAACTGCGGTTGATAGCGAGTGGGACTCGCCATCAAGTTCACCCGCTTGCCGTTCACAAAATGCGACTGATTGTACAGAGCCCTGGCGGCACCGAATACCGTCATAAAAAGAATTGTGCCAAGGTCCGTGCGATGGTCTTGGGTCACCTCAGAGAGGGATCCAAAGTCGCTGAAGTGACGAGTCACTGAGATCAAAGGAATCGGGTACACACAGCTCCAGCTGACACGGCGTATGGGGATGCGATCCTCGGTGTAGGCCACACCGTTCCGGACATAGAAATTGCGGCGTTCCGGTTTGTTGATCATACGCCACATCTTTGAGCAGTTATCGGTTGTTATCGAATGTTATCGAAAGTAGCACAAAACGCAGCACAGATGTCGCTAGTCAGGCTATCGAAAGTTATCGAAAGCAGGGCAAATAATCGCGGTTGAAGCAATCGAAAGCAGCACTGGTGTCGCTGATAACACAATCCAAAGTTATCGAAAGCAGGACAAGCAGTCGCGGTTGAAGCTATCGAAAGTTATCGAAGCACAGCACAAATATCACTAGCTAACAAATCGAAAGTTATCGAAAGTCGCCAAAACAAAAAACACAAACCAAAAACACAATTAGAAACAAAAACGAAATTTGAAACAAAAAACAAAACGCTTTGAACTTTTTTTGTTTGAAAAAAAAATATTTTTGGAATTTAGTTTTTTTTTTTTGAAATATTTTCTTTTTTACTTTTTAGAAATTGTTTTAGCTTACTGGAGAAGTAGATCTTTCTCGTTTACTGTTTACGTATCGAATGAAGGGTAACTTCACAAAACTCTGGGGCCTACAGGGATAGAACTTTCATAGACTACCTCGATCTCAAAAATTCGATAAAAGCTGTCGTAACTAGTAACTTTTGATACGACAGGTATCTGGGACAGAGCCCAGTCTCTGTGGCAATTAAAAATCAACGCAAATTGCCGCTAAGTGCTGCAATTAGCTTTAGGCCATGAGGCGTATACGCAATATTTGTTGTCTTGGAAGTTGGAAAGTGAAACTAATGGATTAGGCAACCAAGTCTCTTTTTTTTTTTAATATTTTACTTATTTTTGTTTTAAACTTAAATGCTTTAAGAACTTGCCCTTTCTAGCATCTTTTAATTAAATTAGTTTATTTTATTGAGTTGAATATTTTTCGCTGGCAGCCGCAAAAGTGCGAGGACTGGTCCGGCTAGCCTTTTATTTTTAGAATTTTTTTTTTGGATTTTCCTCCCAATTATTCCACTTGATGGATACTCTTTTTAAAAATATACTATATATGATTTTAATATATTTTTTAAGGCTCTGTTATTTTGAAGAGATCTCCATCTGAAGTGTAATCTTGTCTATTTTTGGAGGAATTTTTTAGGGTTTTTAAGCCCTGAGGAGGTTCAGAAGTCTAGTTGGCTCTTATTATGTTTTATTTTTTCGGCCTCAGCAGCCGTCTAATTGAGTTGCTTTATTAGTTGGTCCTGAAGGTCCCAGATAGAAGCCCTCCCAATGCCTTGGTTGTCCTTGGGAACGTTGGAAACTACGTAGGAATATGCTCCTCCAGGACTTTGGTGGAAAATGGCGATGCTCTCAGTGGCTTGATGGACACTGATAGAGTCGAGTGGGTGAGTCCTTTTGGCCAATTGTCCTGAATTATGGCTCTCCTACTGGGAGACTGTCCTCCTCCTCGACTCACTCCCACTTTCTTTACTTTCTCCGCCTTGGGCCTCCTCCACCTCCTCCTCCTGCCAACTAATTCGCATATTTCATGTGTACAGCTTCATGTTGTATAATTTATGAATCCATTTCCATTCCCGCCCTCTCTGAAACGGGGCGTGGCAAGGACATGATTGGCCTGCTTGTATATGCAATGAGACGTCCTGCTGTGACTCAGCCTTACCTGTTACTCAGCTGTTACTTAACCCTGAAGCGGAAGTCCAAGGTATTTCCGGGAAAAATTCTGAAAGGAGAGAGAAACTAATAAATTAGAAATTAAGAAATAAAGTTTTAAAGATAATTAACAAGTTGGGGGTGTAAAGAAAATATATATATATTTTTAAATATTTTTTGAAAGGGGGGTTTTGAAAGGTTAGGGAGCTGGAAAGTGTAGGGGTTCCTGCTTAGGCATTAAACGAGCGCCTGTTGCTCTTTTTATTTGTAGATACATCTTAAAAATATATCTAACCTTTATACACTCCCCAAAGCCAGTAGAAGTTCATCCCACTAGTCTATATCCCCCCACTTAATCCCCCTTTGGCCATTATTTTTATACCGGGGATTGTTTTCCCACCTGGTGGGTTGTTGATTTTCTTTTTTTTCTGTTGGTTTGTATTTTGATTTCTGTGTTAATTACGCATACGCACTGTTTCCACCACCGATGGTGGACAAGGCCCAAACCGTCTGTCTGTCCGGTCCTGTCCTGTGTGTCTCATTAAAGCCCGAACCAAAGTGGATGGCAGCTGGGTGGCCAGAAAAGCAATTAAACTGGCCATAGCCGTTGGCAATTTTCGACCAAAAAATTTTGTAGTTGCAACGTTGCAATGTTTCACATGGTCAAGTAGCATTGTTTTTGGGCCTATACTGTTATTGTTGTTTGTTGTTGTTTTTTTTTTTTTGGGATCTGGTTTCAGGCAATTAAGCACTTCTGGCCCACAAATCCGTAAACATGGCAAGTTCGAGACCCGGAGATGTGAATTCTTCCACTTACGGATTTGGCAACGAAAGTAAATGGTAAAGTGGCTTAAGTTAATTAACTTGTATGTCTTGAAATTATTTTAAATTAAGAAATATATATATTTTTAGATTATTTTTAATAAAAAGGGGGAGTTAAGTTTAAGACTTGGTTGGAGAAGGTTGGGAATTATAGGCGTTTTAAGTTTATTTTAAAAGAAAATAAAACAAAGCCTAATTATTTAAGGTTTAAGCTTAATATTTATAGCTTTTAAGCTTAAAATTCTTGTTTATTTTTTAATTCTTCATATTTTTTATTAAATTTTAAACCAAAAACACCAAAATCTGTTAAATAAATCCTTGAAATTCAATTACCAACTCCAGTTACCTCCAAAAGCCCTTTTTTTAATTCATTTAAGCCTCAATATTTTGGCCTGGCTTAATCATTTCCGTCCGGGACTTTTTCCCGGGAAAGGCCTAAAGTTAAAAAAAAATAGAGGATGAAAAAAAATGTAATCCATTGGCCGTTGGAAAACTTGGCCAAGTCGGCAAACTTGGCAAAAGGATGGCAGTCAGGCAGGCTGGATGGCTGGCAGTATTTGGCTTACAAGTTGCAAGTAAAGTGGCTGCCACAGTGGCACTGCGTTGCGTTGCAGCGTGTCGCTTCCAGGCCACTTCACTTTATTTACCGTTACGCTCTTAGCGGGAAAAACAAAGCCAAAAGGCATCGAACCGCTCCCGTTTTTAGCTCCCGTATTTTTATGGCCAGTTTATTGAAAGGCCGCCAAGAGGCAACCCCCACGAGGCAATCCCGTCCGTGGCTATCCCGTCCTGCATTGCATAATGATGATGATGATGATGATTAGAGTGATAATGATGGTCAATGGCCAGTAACCAGTTAGCCGTATTCAGTGTCCAGTAGCCAAGTAAGGGAACTCCTGCTGAAAGTTGGTAACCCAACCTAGCCACCTTGCTACCTGGTCGTCACGTTGGCCACCTTGCCACTTCCCACTTGACCGTAACAAGAGTGCGAAGAAAATACGCGGAAGAAAGTGCGGTAATCCATGGGGCACTAAAAGCATTGAAAGCTCACAAATTTATCGTCGCAACTTAAGCGGAAAGGTGAGAACCACAGGAAGGTGGGAGTTTTTTAGAAAAAAATAAAAAAAAATAATATAAGAAGTAAAATGTAATGAAGACTAGATGCACTATCCATAGGATATTACCTATATAAGTGAAGTATCTTTGGGATGTCTAGTAGCTATAACTATAGAGTTACTTAATAAAATATACTATATCGTAAAAAACACCAAATATAATGCTTTTTTAACTTTTCAGTTATATGGCAGCTATAAGATATAGTCAACCGATCTCTGTTATTTCTACTTATATTTCAGATACCAAGATAGAAGAAGCCTACATACCAAATCTAAGGTCCATAGCTTCAAAATTGACTCTAACTCACTCTAGAAAACATTTCACGGACACACGGACAATCGGACATACTTAAAATAATTCTTTAAACATTATTTAATTAAAAATAATTATTTTTATAATTTTTTAAAATTTTAATAACCTTTAAAAGAGTATCAAATACCCAAAAAAAATATATATATCTTCAAAAAGTCTTTCAAGTGGTAAGAGATTGTTGCAGCAAAGATTGCAACACCCAAAGTTGATCCTTAAATAACAAAGTTTCCAACGATTTAAGAGCTTTTTTTTTATAAAAAAAAATAAAGGTAATTGAAATAATGGCCTTAGGCGAATGTAATTTATTCTAATTTTTATGGTTTTTCCAACCAAAAGTTGAGATTTCTACTTAAATTGGTTATTTTGAGAGTTCTTTTGGGAAATGAGTTCTTAAGTACAATTTGATTTTTAAGACAAGATTTTTATAGTTGTAGACATTGTAGACTAAATTTTAACACTTCCAACTTAAAACCAAAATTTTCCTCCAAGAAAAGAACAAGGAAATATATTTATTAACAATTTTGTATTCCATTTTCACTTTGAATTTTCCTCACAACACAAATAAAAATAAACCATGGCTTTTGAGATGTGAAATCTTTAAAATGATTGAATGGCCAAAAAGCCCTCATAATTTTCCAAGCAAAAGGCCATTCACTGAGAACTTTCCACCACCCACGCTCTAAAATTCAAATAGCCCGCCAAAAAAAACCAGAGAACAACAGCATTGCCAGCTTGGATTCGGATGAGCTATTGTTTACAAACAACGGGAGAGCTTTGACCGGCAACTGCAGAAATATCTCATCGCAGACTGGGCTCCACTCCACCCCCCCCGTCAGGCACCTTTATCATTGGACTCCCGCTCCCCATGACGGATGAAAGCAGAGAGAACGATAAAGAGCGCCTGCGCGTCAACTGTCAGAATTGCAGTCCAAAATGTAAACGAAAACGAGACGAAAGCAAAATAGTCGAAATACTAACATCACATCATCCGGCGGCCGAAAAAAACCAGCAACTTTTTCAAACAAAAACTCAAAGATAATTGTGGAAAAGTGGACAAAAGTGAAGAAAAGCGGCCAACGGAAATAGAAAAACCGTTCAGTAGAAACGTGTCCGCCAAAAAAGAAAGCCATACAGCCAAATCGGCACACACATTCTACAAAATTCTTCCAAGAGAAAAGTTCTACTCTTTGTGTTTCATTTATTTTACTTTTATTTTGACTGAAATAGAGATTTTGCTTGTTTTTGCGTGGAAATTTTGGAAAACTTTCGAAATATATATATATAGATGAAAAATTACAACAAAAATATTGAGTGGAAAATAGTGTTATGAAATAGTGGCCGCGTGCGTTGAAACTAAAAGCCGAAAGTGCTGGAAATTAATTAAAAATTTACTTCAATAAAATATTAAAAAATACAAAAGATAAAATAAACACTGTAAAATAAAATCTAAAAAAAACTTCAAGAAGCAGATTTCCATTTCTCCAAAGAAGGTATTTTTCCTAATGACTCATATTTGTGTTTGTTGTTGTTGCTGTTTGTTTTGTTGCTTGTGGCATATGTATTTTTAGAGCCTACCACCTCTTCCAACCAAAAACATTACTTTGGCACCTTGATAGATCGATATTTTCTATATGTTTTGGTTCTTTTTTTTTTTACTAGGGCGTCATGTGATTTTTCCAATTTTTTTTTTTTGTTTGCCGGCAGCTTGCCTCAAAAAACCAACAACAAAAACAACACGCACACAAACACAAACATAAACTTGTTTTTCGCAATTACGCAGCACAAAAAAAAGACGATAAATTAGCTTAATCAGCAAATCAGTGGCGTAGGCATACCACCACATGCGATAAAAGTGGGGTTGCTTAATTAAAATCATATAGATATATAGATAATTCGCTTATATATGTATGTTGTGTATATCGTATCCTCTTATCGTAAATATTGCTGGCCACTGACTTTCAACAAAAAAAATGCAAAAATGCAGACCAGCAGAGATAATAATGTTGCCTACTTTTAGGCCTTGGATTTTAATCTTTTGAAGAGGTGGCCTTTTTGCAATTTTGGTTTGGGTTTTGTAGTTAATATTTCTTGAAATTAATTTAATAGAAATATATAGAAAGAATAAGAGAATAGAATAGAATATATTATATAAAATAAAATAGAAATATATAGCTGGTATATGGAAGGCTTAAATGTAGTAGGATGTTTTTAAACTTTAAAAATTTTTCTTGGATATTTATTAAAATTTTGTAATTTATTTTAAGTAAAATAAACAGAAAAATATATCATTTTAGTCATTTTTTAACATTTAATATTTACTTTTTTTTATAAAAACTTCCTATATTTTTGTTGTTTAATATTTTAAAAAATAAATTAAATAAGAAATATTAAAGTATTTATTTGATTATATGATTTTAAGAAGTTTTTATAATATGTTTAATTTTTTAAACATAAAAACCAATTAAAAATTTCACAAATACCAGCTCTATGTTATAAGTTATATAAACTCTCCAAAAAGCATAACTATATTTTTAAGAAAAATACTCTTAAGAACACACACACACAAACACCCACCCACCTACATTTTTAGTTGGCCCAACACACACACCCACCCACCCACACGCACACAAACACACACACACATATCCTTTTTGGTTGGCAATGAGAATCTTAAGCCATTCAATAAACACTTTGCAGTACTACCGCCAATTAACAAGCCGCATTACAACTAACACAGTTCCCGCTGCCAGGCTCCACAGTAACGGAGTAGCTATCCTTGAGGGCAGTCACAGCCACAAGCACATCCAGGAACGTGCCCCAAATTGCAGAAACAGCAGCGGCAGAAGAAAGGCAATTGGCTTCTATGCCAGTTTAGGCAAAATGCAGGCCACGACCAATGAAATTGCCAGGACGCAGCAGGATTGTGTCAAGACCTGCGATAGGGAATATTGCAACTGCTCGCCCTCCACTCAAGTAAGTACTACACTGAGAGAAATTGAAGCAAGGGGGAGTAGAAATTATAGTAGAAATTGGGCCCAAAAAAAAATATTAAGCTGAAAAATTTAAAAATTAAACTTTTGAATGAAATATAAATGACTATAACAAAAATCTGGTTACACTTTAAATACATTTTATAACCTAAAAAATTTGAAAAAATTTGTGTTTATAGTTTCTATTGAAAATAAAGCTTTTAAGGCCTTAAAAAAGGGCTTTTAAAACATTTTCATTCTTAGAAATACTTCAAAAAAATAAAAACTTGACAAAATCTGCCTATAAGATGGCCACACATTTTAGAAGAAAACTAATTACTTTCGTAAAAAAATCCCTTTTTTTCAACCAAAAAAACCAAAAAACTAACAAAAATGTTTAAAAATCTCATTATTTCTAAACCACTAATATTTTAGTTTTAGTGTCCGTGTAGAGAAAATAATATATATATTATATATAGTGGATTCTTGAGAAGCAGGAGCACTGAGACAGCCACATATCAATCAGTTGCAGCAAAACTCATTAAACTTGTGCCAATTGTGTCAGTCAAAGGGGGGAGATGTGGGGGACTAGGACGTTCTTGAGGCGACCAGCCCCCTCACGGAACGTCTCCCTGCCAACCCCCAACCATGTTCTCAGTTATTATTGTTTTTGTTTTTGTTCTAAGCCTGAGCCAGTGCCTGCTTCCTTCTTTCAAGTATCCCACTTTAATAATCCCTAGAAGTGTGCGAGTGTGTGAGTGGGTGTGTGGGTGTGTGGGTGGCTGAAAGCTGCTCATTAATTTTCCGATTTTCAATTTTTGTTTTTCCTTTTTTTTCCAGTACGATATGAACGATTCGGCTCCCAATACCCCAGGACCTAGTTCAGCGTCCACTCAGCCGAAAAAGTATTACCGTCATGCGGCTCATAGGTGAGTTAATATAACTTTTTATTATAACTTTAAAAATAAAATAAAATTACAATTAAAATTAAAACAAAATAAACTTTATAAAGAGTTTTACTCTATAAAACTTCTCTCAGTGTAAAAACTCTTGGTAAACATTTAAAGAGTCTCTTACTGTCCCAAAAAAACAAAAACAGTAAACAACATTAAAGAGAGTCCATCACTCCCATGGTCAATGCCAAGAGCGCACTGTTTTCTACGCCAGTCTTACCGTCTTATCTCGCAGTAAAAAAAATAATAACAAAAACAAAAACAAAAATCTAAAAACAGCAACTACAGAAGATTATATTAATATTTTTAAAATATAGTATATATAATATTTGTAAGTTTAAGTTTTATATTAAGCTTATTAGATAAGATAATGTTTACTGTAATATGTATTATTATTCTTTAGAGAATAAAGTTGAAGCACAACAGTGCGTATGAGTAATATTTAAAGCTTGTTGGAAGAAATTTTAGAAATTTCTAAGAAAATGTCCAAATTTTGCACAGTGTAATAAGAGAAAATGGTGGAAAACTTCAACAGTCGAGTACCAGAGGCTCTCAACTTCAATTTCTAATATTTTCTCAAATTCTAGGGTATAACAAAAGTCTATAGATTTTAAAGAAAATTCTTGCAAATTTTTTCCACTATTTTTTTTTTTGTATTTTTCTGCTGATTACAATATTTTGTGACGCTGCTGGGCCATTATCACCCGGTTTTTAGAGACTTTCCAAGGCAGTGAGACAGATAAGCGGGTTGAAGTGGTAGGAGGTGGGAGGGGGCGGGGCAGTGGGCAGTGGTAGGGGGGCGGTGGTGTTTATAGTGAATTGCTAGTTAGGCGCAAAAATGCATATGAGTGGGCACTTTGAGGCAACTTGCAGTGTAAACTGTAGTGTAGAGTGTGTGTGTGTATGCGTTTATCTCCATATTGACATTGACACGATGCAGTTAAGAGAGAGAGAGAGAGATGCATAAGAGAGAGAGTGAGAGATTGATAAACTGGCCACGATCCGAAAAGGTGCTAAGTGAGTGGGCAGAAAAGGCAGATCTATTTATACAAAGAGACCAGCCCAGCTGGAGCTGATACACATACTATGTATGTATGTATTCCCCCCCTAAAAAAGTCTTACCATTTTGGCTAGATGATATATGAAATATATACACAGAAAACACACTCATATGATATGCAAATGGCTGATGAAATATTTATGAAAGTCACTGCCAGTCGCACCCATCAAAGTTATAATTGGAATCATAATTAATTCAGACATCTATCTACCTGTTCTAGCTTTCTGTTTCTGTTTGCAGAAGGTGTTACAGGATTTGCATATTATGGGCCATAAACTAAGACCTCAACTATAGAGGCCTAAATATGGTCCAAATAAATAATACGATTTATTTATGGCCTGTCAGTGGCCTTTCGATCGCTAATCTGTGGCATATCAGTCCGAGGCAGAGGAAAAAAAAATAAAAATTCCACTTAGCCAAGTTACAAACCCCCCACGCACATCTAAACAAATACACTGAAAGAAATTAGTTAAATTATTAAAATATTTAAAATATATATTTAAAACAAAGAGTATTTATTGTTTTAGAAATAATTTTAATTTTGAAAAATATGTATATTTTTTTCTCTGTTTTTAAACAGTAAAGCTCATTGTAGTTACTAGTGGGCGTGGGCTTGTTGGCCATAAATGGGCAGAGTGTGCCACATACTATGTATCCAACTAGACAACAATAGAAGTCATAAATATAAAACCATAAGAAAAATATAAAATTTCACCCAAAAAGTATACTTTTTCCCCCTCTAGTATCCTCTAAGATGAGTAATTATTACGTATACGTTCCTATTTATGTTAGCCCTGCTGTATGCGTGTGATTCGTGTTGTTTTTGTGGCCTGTGTGCATAATTTCATTTCTTCTTATTCGCTTTCCAAGCATTTTCTGACTGACACACTAAAATTTCCATAAGCACAAGTGGGTGTACTTGTTGTTTGGCTTTTGGGGGCTTTTTTTTTTGTATTTGGTTTTTGGTATGAGCTATTTTGGAATGAGCTAGCAGGGCGTGAAGATAAAACAGAGCCAGCATGAAATGGAGAGAGGAGAGATCGCTACAAAACCTATGGAATTTGTAATACTCTTTTTTTTCGATAAAGTACCTAGTACCTCCATTTGAAACTAATTCAATTCGAAATGTAAATTGTAATTACAAACTAGTATGTATTTAAACTTTGACCTTTTTGGTGGGCTGATCATGCCCAGAGCGAGTGATGGGTAGCAGAACAAAGTTGAAAACATTTTTTTTGTTTATTGCATAAAAGGCATCCAACACTACCAACAAAAAAAAAAAAAAGGTTGACGTTGACATCTACGAAAGAAAACAAAAACAAAAAAAAGCAAAGACTAGACATTGGAGAGAAAGAGCAAAGCTTTCGGAGGAGAGAGTTAAAGGGGGAGCTCATTACTTTCAAAAATTAAAAAAAAAATGTTATATTTATTAGATTAACTTAACTTTTTATAAAAACTTTAAGCAACATATTTCTTAAAAACAAACCCTAACCTTTATCAAAAATACCTACTTTTTTGCTCTCTATTATGGTAGAGCTCCCCCCTTTCAAAGAGCAAGCATGCGCCAATAGCTTTGCTCTCCTCATCATCGATGGGGGGGCACTCTCTCTCTTTTCTTTGCTCACCAAATTTGCCCCATTCCCAATTGCACTTTCAGTTGAAATTGTTAACAGAGAGAGTGTTGGAGGAGCGCCCGAGAGGGAAGAGAGAGCTCCAAGAGAGAGCTCCACGATGGAAGCGAAGAAACGACGACGTTTAAAAGCATCAACAAACAAACTGAGCGCCTGAAATTGAAATTGAACGTTGACCGAAATTGTTGCCTTTCTGCCAGCAGCTCTAGAAGGAAATATCGCCGCCAATCGCCAATCGTCTTTTTGTTTCTTACCCTTTTTTTCTGTTATTTTGTTTTGTTCGTCTCGATCGTATTTTCCACACTCACCAAAAAAAAAAACAAAAGCTTTAATTGAAAAAAAAAAAGATACCAAAACAAAAAGACAAAAAAAGAAAAAAAAAAAAAGAAAACTGAGTGAAAAGTCACGAGAGGGTAAGAGGGGTGTGAGTGTGTGTACGGTGTGTGTGTGTGTGTGTGTGTGTGAAAGGAGTCGAGAGACTAGACTCTGCCACGCGAGATCATTCCAGGCATTCCAAGCGAAATCGCGCGAATCGCGGTGACGTCGCCGAACAGCTGATAAGATATTTATCGTGCTCGCTCGCTCTCTCTCTCTCTCTCTCTCTCACTCACCTCCCCCACTCTTCGAATTTATTCACCCCAACGGTCTGTTATCAGCAGCAACGCGTCGCAGAATTTGTGACCATTTAATCCGTCAAATAGCAAAGATGCCACAACCGCTGCAGAAGCCACAAACCAAGCTGCCACAGAAGCAGCAGCAGCAGACCCAACAACCCCAACAACAACAACAGCAGCCAAAACATTCCAGTTCCAGCACAACGAAATCTAGTTCCAGTTCCACTCCCATTTCACGAAATAATGACATCTCCGATATAAATGCCATATCCTATTCCCTAATCGAGAGGCAACGCAAGCAGACGATAGGCGAAGCGGATATGGATCAGTCGGTGTTCAATGGCGTGGCTGTGGGAGCGGACGGAACTCCGGGCTACCATGGACACAAGCGTGAATTGGGTCACAGGTGAGAGCAGGGGCAAACTTTTAAAAACAATAGAGTACTTTTTTTTGGGGAAATGTCAAGTATACGTAGTACGTCATGTAACATATCAAGTATACGCCACGTATAAGCGGGAATATTCTGGGCTAGGGTCATGTTTTTAAATCTATAAATGAATTGTTAAGGAAAACTAATTCTAAAAAGCTTTATTATCAAAGGATGTTAATTTTTTTAATTAAAAAAAATATATAAAAAAAAACCCGAACTGAAAGTCTAGAAAAAAAAAAGCTTAGAAAAAAACATAGAAAAGGGGTTACCATTCATAAATTATTTTTATCCTAAAAACTAAACTTTTTCTGGTTTTTTAGAATTTTTGTTTAGCAAAAATTTTATTCAAAATATCAAGTATATGGTCTATATTATATTAAATATTAAGTATACGCACGCACACATACAATATATGTACATATATTAAGTATATGTACGTCAAGTAGACGCTAGAACTTTCTAGGGAACTGTTTATATTTAAGAATAAAAAAAAAAAATTGGAACTGGTTGTCTAAGGACAAAGTTTGAAATGATTTGAAATTTTTTAAAATTTTCAAACTAAATCCGATGGTTTTTTTTTAAATTTCTTAAAAATATATCATGGGTATAGTTCTCTTATAGCATTTGTAAGAGTAATTCCTTAAAACACTGATCGGTAATCTTCAAATTATCGATCTTTATGGTTAAGATATTTATGGTTAAGATATTATAATCTCTGGATCCTGGGGTTTCAAGCATTATAGGATCCTAAGTCCCATGGGTATAGTTCTCTAAATTCACTTGAGCAAAAAAAAAACCTTTTAAATCTTATGTGAGAGAACTTTCTAGTCTATTTCCTACTCAAAAAATACATTTATTCTGAATAATATTCCTAAAAAACGTTTTATAATAAAAACAAACCAAAAATAGATTAAAAATAGTCTTTCTTGAACCAAAAACTAATCAAAAAGCCAGTCTTAAATAGAAAAACCTCCTAGAGACCTGTAAAGATCTTTTTAAAACCCAAAACTCTAGTAATCTCTGGCTGAGATCTTAAAACCCAAAACCCGTAGTACTTTGATGTATTACCTCACCGAGTACATAGTAACTCCTATTTCCTCACCGTTTCGACAGCGATACTTTTCAGTGATATCTCCTTTCCTAATCTTGATTGAATCATGCACCCTTATCGTTCACCGTTCCGCCCTGACTTACCCGAGAACTTTGGGATTAGCACGTATAATATTCTACGATTTATTCGT